ATTGAATAAAACACCAACGTTGTTCGAAGCATAGTTTGCGACGACAAGATCAGGTTTGCTATCGTTATTCACATCGACCACTGCTACTGATCTTGGAGTTGTGCCAACTGAATAAATAGTTTGATTAAGAAACGTGCCATTGCCGACATTGAGTAGAACACCGATGTTGTTCGAAGCCTTGTTTACGACGACAATATCGAGTTTATTGTCGTTATTTACATCGGTTACTACTACTAAATATGGATTTATGCCAACTGAATAAATAGTTTGATTAAGAAACGTGCCATTGCCCGCGTTGAAGAGAACACCGACGGTACCTGCATCATAGTTTGCGACGACAATATCAGATTTGTTGTCATTATTAACATCGGCTATTGCTACTGACTGTGGACCTGCACCAACTGCGTAAATAGTTTGATCAAGAAACGTGCCATTGCCGGTGTTGCGGAGAACACTGATGCTATCCGAACCATAGTTTGCGACAACAATATCGGGTTTGTTATCGTTATTCACATCGGCTACTGCTACTGACTCTGGATTTGAGCCAACTGTGTAGGTAGTTTGAGTAAGAAATGTACTGCTGTGATCTGTTAAATACAAAAGTTCATGGTTTACATCTAAAGTGACTGCTATTGAGATAGTATTGAGTCGAAGCATTTTACTCGATTTTTTAAGAGTTACTTCATTTGGGACTAAAGTGACTGATAGGATCGTATCAGTTTGTATTAAACGATATTCGATATTTTGAAATAAAATCAGGGCCATTTTTCTTTCAATCTGTGCGCTTTTGTGTAACATTTGTATTAACGTAAAAACTAATAAGATCATTCTTTCTTTCGTGTGACAACGCTATTTACAACCTTTCTTCGATAAAACCCAACCTCAGGATATTCCCAATCTAATCTGCAACACATAAGTGATCAGAGACTCCTCTGTGTCAAACTCACTAGACGTTTTCATAACTATATAAAAAAAAGTAAATGGATGGCAATATATTCTCGATCGAAGTTAACAGAGATATTCTTAAGTTCTATTGGGATAAGTCAAGTTATGTTGAAAAAGATTTCTAAATGAATTCAAATTGATCTCTATTAGTGTAGATATCACAGATAACTTCACGGTACTCTCTTTGAAATTAATATGAATGCGAATCGTTGACTGATTTTCGAGGGTGTGGATGTGATTGTATGAGCCTCCCTTTTGCTTGTACTTGCCACATCTATGCCCTGGTATTGGCGACATAAGAGAAAGAAAAGTAAGTCTTTTGGGTCGAGTCTAAACCGGATCTTAACAACGGTAATGGTAATATGTGCAAAAGTTCAGCTCGCATCTATGCGGACTTTGTCACCAAAAGTTAAATCAACTAAAAGTACACTCCATAAAACGTAAGAGGAAAGAAAATGATATCAGAAACGGATTCTTAGCGAATCTTGATTGGAAATGAAATTGAGGATAAGAAACGGAGAAATGAAGAAGATAGCGGTCGGTATACATGTTTTCATTATAGATTCTTATCTAGTTTCCGATTATCGAAAATTTCGAAAACAGATATCGTAACGAACTACCATCAAAGACACGAACTGTCGTATATTCGTCTAAGCGTTTATAGACAGGATATATTCTCTAAATGCATCTAATCAGGTGGAGAGCATTGAACAGTCGAAGACTGAAAACTTTCGATGTCGTCATTCGATCTAATCATCGATTAGAAAACTAGAAAAAATACTTTAAATCATCTCATATATCACTGACCAGCTATTGTTGATAATGCTGTTGTTGATGATGATGATGAGGATGTTGTTGATGTTGTTGTTGATGTTGATGTTGTTGATGTTGATGATGTTG